ATATTGCCGGCCTGTTTGGGCTTTTAGCGAAGCCCATATGTTTGTTGCTCGAGTGGAAAAAGTACACCGAAGGTCCCTCAACTTGGCATCGAGTTACGAAATCGTCCTCGAACGTAAAACCGGATATATGCTCTCAATTTACAAAACCGGATCACTTTGGGTTTTACCTGACGTGGCAGATGAATAAACGTAGGACCCACATGAAACCCATATGTCAGGGTGGCACGTCATCACCTCTCTTTTCCCCTCTTCTCTCCCTTCCTACTCTCTCAGTCTTCTCTGGGTAGGCAGGCCGGCAGGGCGGGGCGAGGCGGGGCGCGTCGAGGCCGTCCGGCCACACGCCCACACCCGAAGACGCACACGTGCGAGGCCGGGCGGAGAAGGGGCGGCGGGGGGCACCACAGCCGCAGCGTCAGCCTCTGCCTCCACATTCGCCGCCGCTCCCGACGACGCACAAGCGCGAGGCCGGGCGGAGAAGGAGCGGCGGGGGGGCACCACAGCCGCAGCGTCAGCCTCCGCCTCCACCTACGCCGCTACTCCCGACGACGACGCAGCCAGCGTCGTCACCGTCGTTGTATCTCCAAAGCTCGCACTGCTGCTAGTGCCCGTGTCGGCGTCCTACCTCCGCCGCGGCGCGCCGCTGTTCCTCACGCCGCGACGCGTGCTGCTGGCGGGCGTGGGGCTCGGCGTCTTCACCGGCGCAGATGACTTCGTCTAGAAACAAAAATCAAGGCTCTATTACACTATTTAGCTCATCTATTTGATTGGCTCCTTTTGTTTTCTGCACAACACATGCATGCACAGCATGCTGTCAACTATGTTTAGTATATGCTGCAAGGACCGACCCTGCCGCTCGTCGAGCTCGCCTACAAGCACGCCGCCGCCGGCGGCCGCGCCGTCACGTATGCGCTGGTGATGGAGATGCAGCTGGTCATGGGCTTCTTCGCCACCGCGTTCTGCACCATCGGCATGGTCATCGGCTCGCCGGCGTGCCGTGGGACCCGAAGCCGTCGCCACCGTACCCAAGCCTCCCCGCCGCCAGGGGCGGAGCTAGTATAGCTGGAGGGGTACCCACGAACCCGGTTCAAAAAATTTTTTTTACCTATAGTTTATCTATTTTCACCATATATATATCCCGTCAGTTTAAATTTAGGCACCCGTATCAAGCTAAATTTGATTCAAACCAGAGTAAAGCAAGCGAGTAGAACCCCCTTTGTTTTTTTCTAGCTCCGCCCCTGCTCGCCGCCTCGACCGCCCTGAGCCTGCGCGCTGCCACCTGGATGAAGCTAAGACCCTGGGAGCCGCCGTCGCCGGCCGCACCACCCTCCAGCCGCGCGCGCCGCCGTGGGCACCAGCCCTGTCACCAGCATCCCCACGCCCGTGCGAGAGCGAGGAAGGAGAGAAGAGAAAGACAGGAGAGAGAGACTGAAAGTGGGACCCACGTAGGTCCCACACTGACTCAACCGCCACGTCGGATAAAACCGTGGTCAAAACTACCGAAGGATCCAAAATGAACAGTTTTGTAAGTTGAGGGATGTTATATATCTGGTTTTGTGATTGAGGGACGATTTTGTAAGTCGATGACAAGTTAAGGGACCTTCGGTGTACTTTTTCCTTGCTCGAGTTAATGATTAAGCCCGGCCCGCCTCAATTTGTACGCTGCTTTCCTCGGTTCCTGCGTACTTGCTCACGCATACAACGGCAAGTAATAAAGAGTGAAACGCCTTTCCAAAAAAAAAAAAAGGTAATGTAGGGTGAAATGATTTGGAATTTTGGAGATCGACGAGCTCGGTCGGTTGCTAGCATCATTGGACGTCATGTCGTCATCAACTTAGTTTACTAAATTGGTAAAATGTTCCAAAAAAAACAACCGAATTTTTTCCAACGTCAATGTTTAGAGCAATTCACGAGGAACACGTATGTAGTGGATCACAAGAAGTAAAAAAAAAAACTATTTATATACGAATGGTCAAACATCATGTCAGTACGCTTCTAACTCTTCCAACAAACATTCAAAAAAGAACTCTAATAACAGTCTAAGGGTGTTTTGCAACATGGGAATCTCGATCAAATCTTAACTAATTAAAATATTCGTAACTTTCCTTTTGTCACACCTGATTTTCGTCCGTCAATTGGGGAAGCCTGACTCGGGAATGACGAGATTTGGACATGGAAAAAAAACTAGGTTTATTCCAAGTACGCGGGATGAAAATTGAGCCGAAATTCGCGGGATTTAGCACAAGATGGATGGAGCAAAGGGGAGGCGGCAGTGCCGGCTTCGCCGAGCATGGGAGTTCAGGAAGATGACACTGTGGCACGTGGGCCCCCGGCGACAGAGAGAGGAGGGACTGAGGGATGCTCCCTAGACTTTCTCTGTTGCTGCTGGACCGAACGGGAAAGAAAGAAAGCAAACAGACCGAAAGGAGGAGGAGAGGGACAGAAAACAGACTTCATGGGTATTGATCCAAGGAGGGAGGATTTTAATTACTTTTCCATTTAAATTAATCACCGAAATGATCTTTGAATTTTAAAAAACACTTCCAATGCTCGAATAATTTCAAGAAAATTATGAAAATAGTTGGACACTCAAAGTATTTAACAAAATATTTATCTAGATCATTTAATCATTAATAATTGTTTAAATAATTACTAAAATTTTCTTTCTATTATTAAAGTAAATAATTGGAAAATTCCAAAGAATATAATTAATCATGGAGAATTTAATAATGATTAAATATAGCCATGTTTTAATTAGGAAATTTTATTTCTCACATTAAACTTCACTTGTAAATTAATAAAATTTAATATAAATTTTAGAAATAATTTACAAATCCCTGAAACAAAAATCAGGGTGTGACAGAACACAAATCGTCAAAAAAGAGCATAGCAACAAGCGGAACATATGAGTCGTATCTAAGACCTAACACACCCAAAATCATAAAAAAAAACATCCGCCATCTTCAGTGTCACCGATCGGCTACGCTCTCCTTGAGATGGACAGCGGCTCACATCCCTCTGCTCCAAACGGCCGAATCCGCCAGCGAGATTTTCCTTAATTTTCTTCCCGTTGCAACGCATGGGCACTTTTTCTAGTTTAATATAAATTGACAAAACCTTGTCAATTTCCATAAAAACTGGACTGGCTCGAGAACGCGAACTGCTTAGTTCCCGACCAAGTTTAAAAAATTCAGACCATTTTATTATTATTATTTTTATAAAATTTGACCGAATGTTATTGGGAGTCAGCGATTTTTATGAAAACTATCCCTTGTTTTTGGCTCGGGAAGGTCCGATAAATCCTAATCTCAATTTCTACAAAAGATAAACTATCTACAAAATTTCAACCAAAACCCGAAGGCCTAAGAGATTTCATAAACCAAAAAAGAAAAAAAATCATATTATGCTGTTATGTTTAAGCTATTTGCCTTTTATACATTGTTGTACCAGGTACTTGTGTAGAATATAATGTAGAAACTCAAGTTCGAGTCCTATGAGAATTACACAGTTAAGGGGTTCTTTAGAACATAGGAATTCTGTATGGTTAGAGTTTAATTTCAAGTTGTAAATGCATCCCTTAGGTCTTATTCAGTTTAGAGGGGATTGAAAGAAATTGGAGAGGATTGAGGGAGAATAATTCTACACCATAATAGGTGTTAATAAATCCCCTCCAATCCCTCCCACATAGGGATTAACTGAACAAGGGCTAAAAAGGGTCGGAAACGAACAAAAAAACGTCTCAACCATTTACTTAACCATATCTCTTTTTTTTTCAAAAACAAAATCGGAAACAGTATAGCAAAAAATGATAATAGTATAAAAAATATTGGAAAACCGGAACCGATACTATACGGATACAGACGGAAACAAGTCAATATTGGTTGAAAACCTGTAATAAAAATCGGAAACATTGAATTGTAAAATCACACATTTAACTTTGTAGCTGTGTAATATCATGAAATAAATTCAAGATGGCACTATGTAAATTACAATCTATCACCCTTTTGACTTTTGTAGTTAACCTAGGGATTTGGTTGAGGAGTTGATGGGCCTCTAAATTTTGAGTGAGATAAAGAAATGGACCATAAATATTGGGGCATTTATTAAAGCAAAATCATTTCCATTTCTATTCCCATATTTTTTACATCTTTTTCTGTGTTTTCATCGGTAAATATTTCCATATTACTTAGCCCGTAAAAATCAGAAACGGGTATCGGTTGATCAGGAATTTTCATGACCATTTTCACTTATTTAGAACATAAGGATTTCACAGATTTTCCGTGTGATTTAGTTCAGTTCTTTCATAATTCCTCTAAATTTCCTCCATTAATTTCAAAAGATACCCAACTTTAGAAACGAGATGTGATCTTCCATCTGCATTAATTGAAAAATTTTGTGAGATACACATTTATTCCATCAAACACAAATGCACTCCTTGAATCAATTCTGTTTTGGTATCATTAGTGCCCTGCCATTGTTACCTTACAAGAAGATATACATCAGAGATTGCAGAGGATAGGTAGGTAGAGAGAGATAGATAGAGATAGCATTACGTGATACCACAATTAATATCTTTCCTTCATCACTGCAGGGAAAAAAAATCCGGATGAGATCCCAGCAAATTTATGGAAGATCAAAACAATTTCTACTAGTATTTCTTTTTCAGAATTACACAAATATAGAAGACATTCATTGCTGCCCGGTGAATTTCATACGGAGGATTTTATTTTCTTTTCTTTCCTTTAGTCAAACTTGGAAGAATTTAAACATCATACCAGTGGCCTCTTAATTTTGGCAGTACTCCTCCTAATTCCTAAATTGATTAAATGAATTAATTTATGACCCTCTCCTGCCACCTACGTCATCCCCACGTCACGCCCCTCTCTCTCTCTCTCTCTCTCTCTCTCTCTCTCTCTCCTCTCGCCTATTTATTCGCCACGCGCGCCTCGCCGCGTCCGCCTCTCCGCTGCCGCTGCGCGCGTCGTCCGCCTCGCCGTTTGCGATCCGCGCCGCGCCTTGCCATATCGCCGAACACCTCGCGCGCGCCGCGGGTGGGGTTCTCCTCCTGACGCGCCGGAGTGCCGTACGCGCGCGCGGTGGAGTGATCGATCGACTCGGGCGCGGGGAGGGGGAGGGGAGGGGAGGTGGGGGGGAATGGAGGGGAGGGCGGCGGGGTGGGTGAGGGTGGCGGCGGTGGGGTGGGCGGTGGCGGCGTGCGCGGTGGCGGCGGGGATGGTGGCGAGGCGAGGGGCGGCGAGGGTGCGGTGGAACAGGGCGGTGGCGGTGGTGCGGGACCTGGAGGAGCGGTGCGCCACGCCCGCGGAGCTGCTGCAGCGGGTGGTCAACTCGCTGGCCATCGAGATGTTCGCCGGCCTCGCCTCCGACGGCGGGAGCAAGGTGCGGATGCTGCTCACCTGCGTCGACGCGCTCCCCGACGGGTACGTGACGTTGCCGCGCGTCCGGATCATGGATGGTTCCCCTCTCTCTCTCTCTCTCTCTCTCTCTCTCTCTCTCTCTCGGGTTTTGGTGTTTGTTCGTCGTGTTGTACCGTGTCGTACGTAGGGTTGTCTTCATTCTTGCAATCTCGGTTCGTTGCCGACTCGCCATTTTGGCCGGCGGAGTATGAGCACGCGAACAATGTTTGCTGCGTTTTTGTTCCAAATTCCAATGTGGCACTTCCAACGGTTTCGAATTGATGAGAATTTCTTGATTTTTTCTTTGTGGGTGCGGGGAAAGAGAATTTCTTGGTTTTTGACCTTCTGTGTGTAATTGTAACAGAACATTCCAAAGGAACCGCTATTATTTCGTCACCCATGAACTCAGCACATTTAAGTTGTGCATTTTGTTTCTTTGATCTTTAATGTCTTTACCAATTCTTGTGCTGATTTCACTCCACCGGCCTGGCCCTCGAGTGGAGTGCTGATTGCGTTGGGCACTAGTCAAATTTGGCCGTTTTCATTTTTCTGTAAAGAATCTTAATTTGTCTAGTTCCTTGTGGAGATGATCAATGGTGATTTTGCATTTCCATAAAACAATGCAACTTTCTTGAAATGCAAATTTTCCGTTTTATTGAACTGAACAATACCATTGCTTTGTTTACTGTTAGCATTTCCTGATGTCTTTGAACAGTTTTTATGACATGTTTCTCTTACGCTACATTACGAATTCCTCGGATCCCTGTAATCATATGGATAATTTCCTGAAGTCTTTGAACAGTTTTTATGGCATGTTTCTCTTATGCTACATTACGATTTCCTTGGAGCCCTGTAATCATATGGATCATTTGTTATAAGTGTCATATTCTTAATGAATCCAGCACATCCTTTCATCAGTTGTCTGCATCGGGCTGTAGGTTGTATGGTATCCATAATGGCCACTAGGCATAGTACACTCAGTTGAGAATTGTGGTACTTGTTCTTCGGTTGGATGCTGTTTTGACGTTAATTGCTAGGTGGTATGTTGGAGGGGGAAGTGCGGGATTGATGTGTCATGCTTCTTACCAACACACGTCTCAGTGATACAATTTGTAGTACAACTTTCAGCCAAAACATCTAGATTTAGATTCTTGGTAATAAATTGGTAACTGGAATGAGTATGTACTGACATTGATATGTGGTAAATTAAGTGTGTACTAACATTGATATATGGTAATTAAGGTATATCAATGCATTGACATTGGTATGTGGCAGTACCAAGACTCGTGTTTTCCCTTCTTCCTTTGTTGATCTTGCATTGATACAATGTAAGCAAAATCAGGTCCATTTTGAGGTACTTGGCAATGCAACTTTTTACGGCTTATCATAAGCTTATAACTCAAAACTTACTTTTCCAGAATTTGTGGGAATTTTATTTAGGGAATCTTCATCAATGATTTTGTAATCCTCGTATTCATTTGAATCATTCGATGTAGATATTGTTGTATAAAATGTTGTAGTGTTCATGCATATCATATTTTTCCCTAACTGAAATCATTATGATTTTTTACATATATGATATGTTGGTCTATCTATTAGTCATTGCATCACATTCTACCACCTGTGGACAAGTTCTCTAAGAAATATGAAATTGGATAATTGTCTTACAGTAGTTCACATGACATGACCAGGAGCGAGGAAGGCATCAGTTATGCCATTGATCTTGGAGGAACAAGCTTTAGAGTCCTGAAAGTAGAACTTGGCGCAGGGTCTACAATCATCAATCGAAAAGTTGAACATCAGCCTATCCCCGAAAATTTGACTAAGGGTACAAGCGATGTATGTTTCACCCTTTTATTTCACTTCCCTATAACGTTTAGTAGTTTCTGTATGTGAGTTTTAATTTCTTTGCAGGATTTGTTCAATTTCATTGCCTCGGCACTGAAGAATTTTATTGAAAGAGAGGGTGGGGAGGTTGAGGGGAGGGCACTTGGTTTTACATTTTCTTTCCCTGTGAGACAGACTTCCATTTCCTCGGGGACATTAATTCGATGGACTAAAGAATTTTCAATTGAAGAGGCTGTAAGTTACAAAACTATGTCTTCAATTAATCTGCTTTACATTGTATGCCTTCCATTTAAATTGAAGAGAAAAGTAATATGTAAGTTCTATTCCAGAATTCTATGAGCAATAAACTACAAGATAGATAGAAAGCTGGCAAAACTCTAAATTTTCAATGATCACAACAATAGCTTTATTATTGTGAATATGTAACGCAAAATCTTATAAATGTTTTACCCCTTACATTTACCTTGATACCTTTATACGTCTTACTTCCATCGTTTTTTTCATGGCTGAAGTGCTGCAATTTGTCTACACACTACACAGTACCTTGCCAGCTTGCCTCCTTGTTTTACTATTGATTTCTTAGGTTATTTCACTCTGTTTTTTGTACCTATGGAATATCAGGTCGGGAAAGATGTTGCTCAGTGCCTAAATGAAGCCCTTGCTAGGAATGGACTCAATATGAAGGTCAATGTATTGGTACGTTGCAGGCTTGTACTGTATTAGAAAAAACTCCTTCCATAAAGGAAAAAGTATTTGACATGTCTGAATATTTATATTTTGATTATTTTTATTCCATCGGCAATCTCTTCTTTATGCATTGGCTGTCTTAATTAGCTTCGTAACTGATAAATCCATTGTATGTGCGCACACTATTTTTAATATCATGCTTTCGAAAAAGTACTATGGTTCTGCTAGAAGAAAGATGAGGTACACTTCCTCTGTGATTTAGTTTTCAGTCTAAAACATTGACCTGTTACTCCTGTTGTCGGCCTTAAATTGTACCTAAGTTGGTATCTTTTCTAATTTGAATGGAACTAATTTTTTTTCTAGTTCAATCTGAGTTTCAGTCAAAATGACAACAGGATTACATTCAATTATGGACTTGAGTTTAAATTTGGAGCAACTGGATGCTATGCAATGCATCCTATTTGTTTTTTTTTTTCAAAATGGTATCAGCATGTACATGCAATTCAAAACTGGGAACTTTGTCCAAAAAGTGTATCTTCAGCATGAACTTTAAAAATTCTTTAATTGTCACATGTGTAAAGAACAAAAGTGCTATAAATTTACATTCATTGGTCCGTAAAGAAAATATGCCCCTTTATTTTCTGGGACTTGGAACTGTGAATCCTTTTGGGAGTATACAATGTGGCTATTAATAGATAATTTGTGAATCTCTTATCTTGGCTTATCCTCATAGAATCACTTCATTTCCTATGTGACTGCTAATATTTCATCTAGTGTAATATCTCTTTCATATGTAACTGACTTGGAAGCTAGGAAGCAATATGCTTCATGTTCATTTAGAGGACACAAGTTTAATATTTCAAACAATGGCTTGAAGATTACTGACTAGCTAGGATCTAGGAAAAGAAAATGAACCAACTTGATTCTTAAGTTCCTTGAATTGGTCACTTGCTGGAAGTATGGTATTGGTGTATATTACCCCACTGTAATCTCCTGCCTCTTTTTTTGTATTTTTCTAAGAATAATCGCATGATCATATGATATATGAATATGATGAGATCATGTAATTGTTATTTATTAAGCTTGCATTTATTCTTTTGCTCTGGTGAATATATTTGTTGAGACTTTATTTGTGATCCAAAAATGCTTTCCAAGTGTGATGCATGTAATCTCACTAGTAGATTAAAATACATTCATTTCTGGTTGATTCTACAATGTATTGTTCAACAAATAGGTGAACAATACTGTGGGGACATTAGCTCTCGGGCATTATTATGATGATGACACAGTAGCTGCTGTGATTATTGGAGCTGGCACCAATGCTTGCTATATTGAACGCAACGATGCAATTATTAAATCTTTGGGTCGCGTTACCAATTCTGAACGAACGGTATGCTAGTTTTAATCTTTTATTTCATTTCTTTAAATCTCTGATTTGATCAGTATTTTAATGTGGAGACAGAATCTCTGATGATTCTTTTCTGTATTACAATGTTCCATGAATCAGGTAGTAAATGTGGAATGGGGTAGTTTTCGGCCTCCACAAATAGAATTGACTCCTTATGATATATGCTTCAACAACGAAACATGGAATTATTATGACCAGGTAAGACCTTCTGAAAAATGGGAAGTTTGGAGTTTGTGATAATTAGGCCGAAATTAATGTCATTTAATTGGTGTAGGGTTTTGAGAAAATGATCTCTGGTGTGTATCTTGGGGAAATTGCAAGATTGGTGTTCCAAAAAATGGCTGAAGAGTCAGATATATTTGGTACTGCTGTTGATGGTCTATCGACCCCTTTCGTCTTAAGGTGCCCAACTTGAATTTAATTCTTTCAGATCAGTTTATGCTTTAGCAAATAAATATATGCTAGGTTTCTCTTATCTCCATTGCAACAGAACTCTAAAACATTGGAGTATATAATATGGAGTACCTTAAGTTATGCTCCTATGTGATAATTTCTACCCTCTTTGCGCTACTCTCCTCGGTTCCTTAGTTTCCCATTAGCTTTGACTTGATCTATTTCCTTGTCAATGTTATTTGCTTTATCAACTTGCACTGTCGGCTTACCATTTGCTAGTTCTGTCCAATAATGTTACAAATGCAGCATGGTTATTGTTCATAATTAGTGGAATAGGAACAAAGTGACTAATTATGGTTTGTAGCTGTTCCTTATTTCTTTCAATAATTGAATATTTCCATAGCATCTTGCAAGGTTTTTTTCACCTTCTGCATAGACGGTGTGCTTGTCCTTAGATCTGGGAATGAACATCAGTTTATTCGTTGCATTCCGTGTATAGTAGATTCTTTCTGAGGTAGGTAGTTCTCTTCAATTTGGCCTGTCAAATAGCTGGCCTGAGCCATTGAAACATCACACTTTTCATTCCAAGGCTATGTTTTGGTTGAATTTCGTGGTCAAGTACTTTTCATTTCGAGTTTTACAAAACTCTGTTGTCAGATTACTTAAAGATAAAATCGATCATCTTATTGCCATGCCTTTTCGTCCAGTACACCAAACTTAGCTGCTATCCGCGAGGATGATTCCCCGGACTTGAGAGAAGTCGGCAAGATACTTGAGGAACATCTTAAGGTTTCTTACAGCTGCTCACAATAATCTCAACTTTCTGTTCAGTGCACAGCTTCTTCAGACTGACATCTCTCACATTTTCTTTTTTTTTTCTTTCCTAATGCAGCTACCAGATGTTCCCCTCAAGACCCGGAAGCTTGTTGCCAGAGTCTCCGACATCATCACCCGGAGAGCTGCCCGCCTAGCAGCGGCTGCGATTGTCGCGATACTGCAAAAGATCGGCTGCGATGGAACCCTTTGTGGTTCAACTCAGGTTCGAACAATGCGAGGCGTGCGAAGAAGAACGGTGGTCGCGATCGAGGGCGGCCTCTTCGAAGGCTACTCGGTCTTCAGAGAGTATCTGAATGAAGCTCTAGTTGAGATCCTTGGAGAGGAGATTGCAGCCACTGTTAGTCTTAGGGTGATGGAGGAGGGATCTGGGACTGGTGCTGCCCTCCTTGCAGCTGCATATTCATCGGCTAGGCAGAAGAACTCCGAGTAGGCATGAGACACAGATATACTCTCTCCTTCCTTTTTTATATGACGTTGGTTAGTTCAAAAATAAACTAAACAACATCAAATAAAAAAACAGAGGGAGTATATAGGTTAGCCTTAGTCAATAAAAAATGGAACAAGAAAAAAGCAGAGCATTATGTCATTCATATACATGTAGCCCAGATGTGTACATGGTAGAAATCAGTGCTTTTGTACAGTCATTTTCGTTTCTGTTGTAAAATTAGGTGGTCTTTGTCAAAATCTTGTTTTCTTCTCTTCTGATGTCAATTTCCAATGCTTGGTTCTGTGTATATAGTAATCATCTGGTAACTTCAGAATGATGTTGGGTGATTTTTGAATGGATAAATCAGATTAGTAGATTGTATTTGCGATTGTTGGGTTCAACGTGCAGGGGTATAGTTTTGCTCGATAAAATATTAATTCCTGGGATACTAAGGATGAAGCTCTGATTATATATATATTCTCGGTAATGTTTAGGTTTTAGTCCTTTTGATTGTTTGTCAACTAACAATGTGTTAAGTTGAAAAGAAAAGGCAAGTACGGGCCATCACTATCATGACCGAACCGGTGTATAAAGTGTCATTAGAGGATTTAGTTTGTGATGAAGTGATGATCTTTTGGATTAATCAGTTGAGAGGGTCATAAGATTATAACCCCTTGGGGACTCTTTAACTTAACACGTTAAATAAAGGATTATCGCTCAGTAATCTGGAGATACCTCATAATGTTATTGCATTTCTAGTACTAAGGAAAAAAATGAAATAATTAAGATTGCCTCTCATTTTTAAATCCTTCTATGGGTGATGGGTGAAACGTTGAGTGCCAAAATCCGCAGAGGGAGCAAAACTGAGAAGAGATGAACAAAAAAACAAAGGGAAGCTACCGGATTGGGATCATCATTTGTAGCACCCTCTATCCAAAATAAATCGATTACTCAAGAAAAAAATAACCGTGAGAAAAGAAAATCAATGTGCCGCTCATTAATAAGAAAGTAATATTAGTGGGTGGGTAAGTAAAAGAATATGGAAGAAGTAAAAATGTTCTATTTATGAACCAGGGTAGCTAAGAGGCTATAAATTAATTTATTTTGGGATAAACTTTCAACTTTAGAAATCAACTAATTTTTGCCTTTAAAAAATCAACTTATTTTGGTACATAGAGATTGTGGCATAGGGCGATAGATTATGGCATAGGGCGATAGTAGGAGTTGACGCTTATGAGTAGAAGATGGATTGGAAGTGAGACAACTCATCTCGAAACCTTAGCTGCCACAATTAAAAATCGTAGTAAACCCTAGTCGCACCTCCATACTAGCACACTAGATAGTAGGGTTTTCTCCATAGATAAAGCCTTAGAGTTGTTAGGAAAAAGTACGAATTACCCCCTAAACTATAGCGGTCGACCGAATTACCCCCCTAAACTCAAAAACCAGATATCGTTCACCATGAATTTTTAATACCGGACAAAAAAACCCCTAGGGTACAGTTGAGAGCGGTTTAGGGTTTGAATAGCACACATGGCAGTCCAGCCAGCAAACATTTTCTTTAACAAAGCTAGGGCCCACTTGTCAGATCCTCACCCCCCCTCTCTCTCTCTCTTCTCCCTCCCCTTCTGAATAGCACGGCGGCGGTGGCCGGCCCGCTCTCCTGCACACGCTCGCCATGGAGGAGGGGCGCGAGCGCATGGGGCATGGAGGCGGAGGCAAGAGCGGCGCAACCAGCGGCGAAGGCGGCGAGTGCGCCCGGCATGGAGGTGGAGGCGAGAGCGGCGCGACCGGCAGCGAAGGCGGTGAGCGCGCCACGCATGGAGGCGGAGGCGAGAGCGGCGCGACCGGCGGCGAAGGCGGCGAGCGCGCCACGCATGGAGGCGGAGGCGAGAGCGGCGCAACTGGCGGCGCGACCGACAGCGAGGACGGTGACCGCGGAGGCAACGACGGCACAGTCGAAGATGAAGGTGTGGCGGCGAAGACAGCCATGTGCGGAGCTGGGAGGCGTCCGTAGCGCTCGTCCTCCATCCCCGCATCATGCTCCCGCGTCGGCTCGCCGCTGCGCATTGGTCAAATCTGGCCGTTAATGAAGAGCTCGGCTCCACCGCAGCACCTTCACCACTGGGGAAGGGAGCGTTGCGGGCGGGACTGGACAGCGCGCTGACAAACGGGGTAGAGCCCTACACGCGCTATCGCATCAGCTGCACCTTCGCCTCCACCCACTCCGCCCTCCCCGTTGTCCCGACCGCCGTTGGCTGCAGGCGCCCTCTTCGCCGCTGCCCACTCCGCGCGCCATCGTCCCGTGCTCCTCCCGTCCTCCCGAGCTCCGTCGTCCTCGAGGTGAGCTGGTGAGGGAAGGAGAAGAGAGAGGATTTTGAGAAAGAAAGAGAGGTGAGGGGTAAAAGAGAGTGAGAGACTGACATGTGGGGCCCACTGATTTAAAAAGAAAAGAATTGCTGACTGGGCTGCCATGTAGACCAAAACCGCTTGCAAAGCTGCTTGGGGGGTTTTTTTTCATCCGGTATCTATAGTTGAGGGTGAAAAATAACTGGTTTTCAGGTTTAGGGGGGTAATTCGTACTCACAATTCTTCAGGGGGTAATTCATACTTTTTCCGAGATGTTACTACTACAGCGTTGTTGATGCGAAAACACGGTGGCATGAGAGATCTGCTTAACTCCAGTGCAGGTCCAAGGCTAGCCTCGAGTGTGTCAAGGGCGTGTCAGTTGATTTGATCCTGCAATCAGCAAGAAAGAATAAAAGCAGAATCAGTCAACCGATAGCTGATCGGCCGATAGGCCGATAGTGTATCGTTGATGGTCACAGCCGATGGAGTTAGACCAAATTGGCTATGGACTGGATATATCAAAGAATAATAAACCCTAAACACGCCCAATCGGATGTAATAGTATCTATAGAGTTTAACAGATTGATTTAAGACAGTATTATGAAAGTAACAGAAGTATTATGAAAGTAACCGATGTGACAATATTTAGAGCAAGAGAAATAACGTACTAGCTAATACTCTAGTACAAACTTATATAGACAGATTGATCCATATAAACATATCAAATAGAAATTAAGCATGAAGTTAGGAATCTAACCGATACTGACTAAAGCTTGATATGCTTATATAAAACGATCTATCTATATAAGTGGCGAATATACATTAAACAGGGGGGGTGAAACATGCATATTGGGTAAGATCGGCTGAAACCCCAATACTATTCTTATAATGCCTAATTGCAGGCTAATTTGCATGGTTCTAAGCACGACTAGGGATGATGCATCTCAAAGTATGAAAAGGAACATGTAGTCTAGACAATCAAGAAATTAGACATTTTTCAGGATGGTAGATGTCTTAGCTAATCTAATCTAGCAAGACAATTTAATCGAAACAAGTATAAACCCTAAAGCGAGCCACGACCGATAGAGCTAAATTGAGAAGCTAAAAATAGATTAACTAAGACATATGATAGCAATGACTCGTGATATTGAGCCTAACATGTCTAAAGCGACATGTTAGCCCGATAGCGCGGGCCTTTGACACAGGTTACCTCTTGCAAAGAACTCGCCAGAAAACGAGAAAAGTAAAAGGGTGGTATTGTGGACACGACTCAAACCTTTCTAAACTTAAGATACAAACAAGACTATATATGGCGGTCACTTACCAAATTTCTAACAAACCAACTCAATATCCTAATTAATAGATACAATTGCCTTAATCGAGCTCTATCTCTTATTGGCAATGATGGTTATCCCAATCTAGGCCCATGTCGAGCCCAAGTCACGTCATATCGGCTGCATCGGCCATCGGCTTCATCAAGCTTCAACCAGCTTCATACTTTGTTTCAGCCGATATGGCATCCAGTCGATGTGCGGTCCGACTCCAAGTTCGGCTTGATTCAACACCAAATCTGCTTCAATTTCCTTCCTTTTTTCTGAATCTGATGTCAAATTTCATTGTTAACAAGTGCTAATTAGCTTTTGGGCCGACAACATTGTTGGAGGAGATGATCAGCTTATACGAGGACGGTCCACAAGTTAACACATTTTGTTTAGATAATGGAATAAATATTAGTACATGTTAATAATGACACGATCGACTTGGTGGAGATTAATGGGTTGAGTTGATGCGTGACCGATCGTGCATTTCTAACGCGTGACGTGTGATCGCATAGCTACACATAGCTACAAAAACCATGCATGTTGCCCCCTCCCTCTTCTCCTCTCTTCTCAATAGAGCCTAGTTACAACTAAAACGACCACTTACATTTACTTGTGGGGATACCCTCTTTAGTTCCGGTTTGCAAGCCCTTTAGTCGCGGATAGCAAACCGAGACGTCCAATCTAGGATTAAATATCCTTTTTTTTAGTTCTGGTGCCAACTAGGACTAAATGTCTTTTTATTTCTTTTTTATTGTTTTTTACTGTTTACATATTGATTTCGAGCCAAACTCACCAACATCACAAATTCACAGATCGAATGAATATACTTAAATTGGCATCACAAATTCACAGATCCATAGAATGAACAAATTCACAGACATCACAAATGAACAAATTCACATAACTCCTACTTGCCTCCTTCTTCACGGACCTTTTGCCTCGCTCGCTGCCGCGCCGCGCGCCTCCGAGTCCATCGTACCAGGGCTGCCACGACGCGCGCTGCTGCCGCAAGGCCACGCGATCTTCGCCGATCACGCTTCGCCGATCACGCTCGCGCCGCCGCCGTCACTCCACTGCCACACAAGCCGCCGCTGCCTCCCCTCCCACCGGATCCGGCGGAGGGGAGGGCCCGCCGCCTCCTCGTGCGCCACCACCTGTTGCTTGCCCTCCAGCCGAATCCGGCGGAGGGGAGGGCGCTACCGCCGCCCACTCACCGGCTTGCTCGCTCGCTCCGCCCCAGCCCCCCACACAGCGGCCCCTAGCCCTCCTCGCTGCTGTTGCTGCTGCTGCGTGTACGAAAAGGAGAGGATAAGACAGGGAAGAGAGAGAGAGGAGAAAAGGGAGGAGGAGGAAAAGATGAGGACGGACGGAGGAGTTTGTGAGGAGGAGATGACAAGTGTGGGGGATTATATACGGTGCATCAATCTTTAGTCCCGGCTAGTAAGATAGAGGCCTGACACGTTTTGAAGCGGGACTAAAAATGATCTTTAATCTCGGTTGGTGTAAAGTGTCGTTGGGCTTTTGAACCGATGCTAAATATCTTTTTTAGTCCCGATTCCTAATCAAACCAGGACTAATGTGATTTTGCCATCCGAGCAAATATCAGTTCTCCAGTAGTGATTTTCTCATTCCACGG